CAAGGACCTCAAAAGCGGACGATCAACCGGTGAACTGGGTCTCCGGTTCGTGAGTTTTCAGATGGTCAGCAGCGGTCCATTTCCACCCTACCGCTGCTCATTTCGTAACGCACGACTAAGGGCTAGACATTGCGGATGTCTTCCGATAATGCTCAGCAGCGTGCGTAGCCTAAAGAATAAGATGTGCTGGTTAGATCTGCTTGTAGACGGGTCTCATCCCGACATGCATTCACTGAAACATGGCTTTCACAGGATATCACGGATGGTGAAGTACGTCTATCAAGTTACGCACTGTATATGCGCGATTGCTCCATTGCCCGACAGGGTGGGGACATCCCTTTATGTGAGCTGTAAGCTTGGTGTTTTGTGGACCTGCTTGTTCCAGTCGACAGATAAAATTTGAAGCTCTGTCGGCTGTGATTAGCGGTTCCTCGGCTCAAGTTACAGTGGTACTTGCATATAGAAGCCCTGGGATTGCATCCAGAGAGGCGCTTGACTTTATTCACTCACAGTGCGAAAACAGGTGTTTGGTGCTTTGCGGCTTTAACCTCCCTAAGGTTTGATGGGCAGATTTTTCTTTCAACTCAGCGTCAGGTGCTTTCGGTGCAGATCCTCCTGGACTTGCGTTACAAGTACCGCTGCGTCTGTTCGTCCACCTTTCCCGCTACGTGCATGGACACCTAAGTACCGTCCATTTTACCTAGTATTTGCTAACTCACTCGACTTTGTTGGTGACGTTACTTTTGGACCTCCACCTGGTGTTAATAATCATGTTTGTTTGCATTTCCGTTGTATTCTGTCTAGACGCTACCAGAGTACTGTTGAGTCACACTCTAACATGGTTTGTGGCATCCGGTTTCGAATTTGTCTGTCACTTTGGCCAGCCACAGGACGCCTGCGCCTACAGAAGGACCATGGGTGGCTTGCGCTGCACCACGCACAGCTCCGTCCACACACCCCATAGCCAGTGTAAACCCGAAGGAATAAGACCGGGAGGCATGTGGTTGGGAACCAGGTTTCATCAACGGAGCCGGCCCACACTCCTTCACAGGCAAACACAAGCACGCTGTATTTGGGAATCGGTCACACACAAGACGGTGGCTTGACCGTAGTCCACTCCCAACTGGGTACATGGAATCACTCTTTTAGTCCAACACGGCCACAAGGACCGTGTACCCTATCCCCTCCAGCAAAGACCTACTGTTTCCTAGAACCAGTATTGACGAGGTAGTGGGTAATATACAGGTAGGCACCTTGTCAACATACACATCAAGCACAGCCACACCGGGGATATCAAGCAACAGCCAATCACTTGAAACGATAATATACAATAAAGCAAATCGAATAATGCATACAGATACGGTGACATAACTCCTTACTAAATGAGCGTATCAAATAAATCGGTTACGAACAAATCCGCGTAAGGTTCATGACGTCAGAAAATTTAATTTAAGAAAATGCCACAAACGCGAAAATTTTATCAAAATTAACTACAATTAGCTTCAGCGACATATGCACCTTTGTTGAAGATATTAGCGGTAAACATTAATATGAGATGAAAAAGCATTAGGATGACATAGCAAACCCACCACCTGAAATAAAGAGATCCAGCATGCAAGCAAACGGTTAGTAAATCGAATGCAGTGTATCTACAAACGTTGCACCGGTTCTGCCTACGTTCACAACAGGACCCGTCGGTGATGGTCCCGAATGTCCTCGCTCATGGCTCACTAGGCCTACCTGAATAAGGTACTCGAGACCGCATGTGCTACTGCACTATGCGGTCGATGTCGGCGCGTGCTGCTTCCGCACTTGCCGCTTCTTCTCCGGCCCTCAGCAACTGCCTTCGTGATCAGATCACGCCATGCACGGCGATCAAATGCGTTCGATTCCCATGACCTGCAATCGAGATTAGAAGGTGAGAGGCTCACTTATACCGTAACATGGCATGCATATTATCAAGCAATGAGAGCCAAGATCTCGAGGGACAATACTGTCCAGGTTGCCTGGGATAAACATAAATTCTTCGTCACAGGGGTCTCTGCTCCCTACATCCCGGTCACGGAAACAACCCGCTGGATAGATTCCGACGGCATTCGGTTGATCATAAAGTGGTCTACATGCTGGTAGACTTACCGAGATCCTCCATCCACTGATAATATGACAGAGACCTACTGGGGCTGAGCACAATATAATCATAGGGATCATTAGACGCGGAATAAGGCGTGGGCTGCCTGATGACAAGGAAGCCTGGTGGACCCACTCGGGCTGAAGAAATAGAGGAGGCGGGAGCAGTAGGAAAATATCTAGAGCCCTTCCGCACCACTGGTCCCAGGAAACCAAACGTCAGTGTGACAATCAGAGACATCGCGGGTGCCATGATTTACACTATGCAATGCCGTAGCGCTCGTTGCGCAGAGCAATTTCAAGATCAATTCAGTTGGCCCCCTGCTTCCAGACTTGTTTCCTACTCAGGTAATTCAGCATGAACCACGGTTAGTTTAGAGACTCCATCGGAGGCTGAGGTCCGAAACCCGATCACAGCCCTTAATCAATTTCATGCTACAGACCCGGCGCAGGTTCGAGCCTGTGTAGGGGCAAGGGGACCCTCGCAGTATCCTTATCCCATCTGTAACCGATGGTGGTTGCGCGGTAGCGAAGCGTCGGTACTACGTACCGGCGTACTGCTGATGCCCACCGGCACTATTTACGGATGGTGGTGCTGTCCTCTGCAAACCACTGACTTCGCTGTTCGAACATGTCTACAAGAGATCGTTCCAGATAACTGAACAAGATCGATTATACTGGCAATGTACAAGAGGAGCAATCGCACCGATTGTGCTAATCACAGGTGGGTATGAGCCTAATCCGTGTGTTGACAAAATTACTGGCCTCAATTCCCGTTCGTCGTCTCACTGCGTAACGGGAATCCCGGTTTGAAGAAGAACAGGCACGTTTCTGCCCATGGCTGTATAGACCATATGTACACTCTGCGATAGATGCTAGAGCAGCTCCACACATACTGCAGACCAACAATAGCTGTGTTTATAGACTTTAAAAGTGCTTTCGACTCAGTCGGTTGAGGCATTTTGTTCGAAAGACTTGAGCGGAATAGTGTTCCCATGCAACATGTGAACATTTTGCGCGTTCTATACTCGAACACTACAGTTTGCGTTAGGGTCTGCGGTGTCTTATCGGATATCTTTCCGACTATAAGTCGCACTCGTCAGTCTTGTCCACTTTCAATTTCGTCGCGAACTCCATCATGGAATCTTTCCTTGCGGAATCTCGCGATGCAGGCGTTGAGGGGCTGCGTGATGAAAAACTAATTCATCTTTATTATTTGGGCAACATTGTCCTACTGTTTAACGATGTTGGGCCGTTCAGTCAACCCTGGATAACATCTCTAGAGTAGTCCCATCGTTTGGCATACGCATCGCATCTTCAAAGTGTAAAGTGTTGCTGCAGCACCGCTAGTCACTTGATGACCCTTTGACCCTTGGATAGCAATGAGCTCTAGGTAGTTGATCTGTTCGCCTACTTCAACAGTTGCATCAGCAATCATGGGCGTATAAGCCCTGAAGCCGGTTCGCGTATCCTAAAATCTAAAATTGCCTTCTTGAATCTGCGGCATCAGAAAGGGGTTTCCCTCCGTCTGAAAACCCTGTTTACAAGGCCACAGTGAGGGCCGTCCTACTGTATGGTAGTGAGACTTGGTTCCTTCACTCCGAGGAGCTGATTCGCCTTCAAGCTTTGATCATCATTGTCTGCGAAGCATTGATGGTGTCGGATGGCACCAGCGTGTCTGTAACAAATATGTACGTATGCGTGCTATGCAGTGATAATCAGGCTAATTCCTTGAAGCAACAGATTGAGCTAAACATGCTGCGTTGACTTGGACACGTACTATATTTGCCAGGTCCCCGCTTACTGAGGGCCTTGTTTTGTTTGTCAGACGTAGGGCAGTGCAAGGCTCAAGGTGGGAAGAACTTAAATTGACAGCGGGAAATGAAGTGACTGATTACAAAACCTGGTGCTGTTTGTCCGTCTGGACTTGGCTGGAATCCATTTGACCTGCCTTGTGCTTGGCTCGAGACGCTACAGGACATGGCTCGCACTCGACACCAGTGATGCATCCGCTGTAATATCGTACTCGAACTGCCTATTTAAACTATTAAGTGTTTACTTATCGCCAGCGTAGGACTGATTATGACACGTGGTAGTGAAAGCCGCAAGGAAGCTGTCTCGCTTATGTCGCCTTATCCTTGCACGAAGGCCAGCAGTTTGTGACAGTAAGTTGTTGACACAATGTGTAGCTTCCTTGACCCTGGTTGTTTAGAGCATTAAGGTTCTACACTAGTTCCACCTCTTTTTGTTATTGTTCGTTCCGTTGATCACCTTGGTCGTAAGGGCAGCGAAACCAGTTCAAATGGCTGATATACTGTTGATGATGATGACCGTGCATGCAACGTGTGATTAAGCCGTGTAGTTCTACTACTTGGCACTCCTACTTTAGTCTCTGGCACTGCGCCACATCATCAATCGAAGCTGCACTGCACTCCTTTCGATAGCCCTCTTCGGAACATACCATTTACTTTTGGTATGCTTAGTTGGGCGATATACGGACGCAGTCTGGAGAGTGAGCTGAAGATTGATTTACATCGGTGCGTCATTTTACAGACCCGCATGTTCCACTTCCTCAGTAATGTATCGTGCTCTTCGATGTCGTACAATCGAATTTTAAATGATTCTCTCATATACACTCTCACTTATGGGCTTTTAATCTTTTCATTTATCTATTTCGCCTCACTTCTCTTCGTCTTTTTTGGATGACAAGCAGAAATGAGTCGAGTGAACACGGACAACTATTGTTAATAGCCTACTCTGTCAAATCCATGAGGGCGGCCAGCTTGTTGCCCACAAAGCCTTAGCGAATTATTGAGCTGTAAAAACGTGTATTTTCTTTGTCCAAATTCAAGCAACGTTTTGTCATCTTTTCAGATGCCATTGTACCCTACATTTGAGCACGCGAAAGTAGAAGGCCTTCTTGAATCCCAACATGAAGCTATTGTCGGAATGCAAAGGACTGATCCTGAGGCTTATGTTACTATTGCTCGCTATATGGGCTTGGATTTAAGTAATTATCATTACAACGATGCTGGTGAGTTGGTTCCGGGACCTGTATCTCCCCCTCCCAGCACCGCCCACTATCCCGCCGCTCCTCCACCTTCCTCTTCCTCCACACCACAACCGCAGCAACAGCAGCAAGTAGCCATATGTGCACCCCATGGGTCGCGCGCTTTAATACAGGCAAAAGGGGGGCCTGGTGAAATCAGACACGGAGTTCGTCGGGTTCTTTTGTGCAAAGATCCCAGCGGAAAGGTCGGTGTCCAGCTGGTCTCCGTGGACAATGTAAGCTGTGCGCCATTTTTCAATTTCAACTTCTAAGCATCGTGATTTACCAAAATTAAAACTCTCCCTTTGATATTTTTTAAAGGGAATCTTCGTTTCTTTCGTCAAAGCAGGCTCACCAGCTGCACTTGGGGGTATACGTTTTGGTGACCAGGTTCTTTCCATCTGTGACCAAGTGGTTGCTGGTTTCTCCGGTGACAAAGCGATGAACTTGATACGGAAAGGTCCTGCGAACAATTTGGAGATTATGGTCCGTGACCGGTGGGTCATTTCGTTTGCATCGCAAAGTGCCACTTTTCCAATCGTAATAATAGCCGATATTCAATGAGCACTTCTTGTTTGAGTAAGAAGTGATTTTAGTGTTTTACTTATGGAGTTCCGGAAGCTAATACCTACACGTGCAACGCCTTCTGATATTTTCGCCATAGTTTCGCTGAACCCTGTAGTTATAATGATGTGCTATGGTCAATTTATTGTTCCAGTCGAAGTCGAAGAACAACTAACAACATAATACTGATGTTCTTTTGGTGTCTGATATCACATCGTTCCAGCTTTGCCACATGTCCTACCGTAATAGTTCGTCGACACCCAAATATCTTCATTGATCAGTTCAGTACACTGATATCAACAACCTTTTGAGCATCCAGTTCCAGGTGCAATATCTTACAAATCTCTCAGATCCTTCATAATTTTGCTTTATTAGATGTTGTCCACCCCGGGAAATGGAGTTGCCAATCACTAGTGCCTTCCATGCTGTGGTCCACGCTCTCCACCCCCTGCTTGATTCGAAAGTGTAAAGGAAACATCTCATACCGGCACTAGTGACGTGTTTACCATAGTCTCCAAATCCGATGAGCTCTTTACGGTGTGTCTGATGCTGAGCTATCCGTACGGTGAGGTTGGTTGTGACACTGGGCAGTGAAAGCCGCTTCATCATCACACGGGAGTAAGGTGTAGGCGCCTTTATGCCTCATGTTTGAATAACACATTTTGTTTTGTAACAAAGTACCATTACAAGATTCCGTTCTGTTTACTTAAACAACGATAATCTGCACGCTGAAATACGATAACTCCAGTTGTTACGACTCAGTTCGCCCGTGAGAAAATGAGCTCGTAGGAGAACAGATTACCAAAAAAAAGTTAGTTAAGAAACGTATATATATATATATATATATATATATATATATATATATATATATATATATATATATATATATATACTTGATGGCGTGCGGTTTCGCATTGACCTGTCACGGTGGTCTGCCACAGGACGCCTGTGCCTACAGAGGGACCATGGGTGGCTTGCGCTGCACCACGCACAGCTCCATCCACACACCCCATAGCCAGTGTAAACCCGAAGTAATAAGACCGGGAGGCATGTGGATGGGAGCCACGTTTCATCAACGGAGCCGGCCCACACTCCTTCACAAGCAAACACAAGCACGCTGTAGTTGAGAATCAATCACACACAAGACGGTGGCTGGACCCTAGTCCGCTCCACACTGAGTGCATGGAACCACTCTTCGAGCCTAGCACGACCACAAGGACCGTGCACCCTATCCCCTCCAGCAAAGACCAATTGTCTCCTAGAGCCATTATGAACGAGGTAGTGGGTAATATACAGGAAGGCACCTTGTCAACATGCACATCAAGCGCAGCCACACCGGGATATCAAGCAACAGTCAATCACTTAACAACCCTTCACCAAATGAGCGTATAAAAAATGATTACGAACGAATCCGCGATAAGTTCAAGAGGCCAGAAAACATATTTTAAGGAAATGCCACAAACACCAAAACGTTATCGAAAATAACTACAATTAGCTTCAGCAACGTGTGAAAGTTTAAGGAAGATAGTACAGGTAGAGAATAATATGTGATAGGAAATCATTAGGAAAAAATTGAAAACCCACCACCTGCAATAAAGGGAATTAGCATGCAAGCACTCGGTTCGTAAATCGAATGCAGCGTACCTACAAACACTGCGCCGGTTCTGCCTACGTTCTCTGCAGGACCCGTCGTCGCTTCGGTGATAGTCCCGAGTGGCCTCGCTCACGGCTCACTAGGCCTGCCTGACTCAGGCACTCGCGACCGCATGTGCTACAACACCATGCATTCGCTGTCGATGGAGTACAGCGCATCGGGGCTTGCCGCTTCCGCACATGCTGCTGCTTCTCTGCACGCATGAGGTCGTTCTCCCGCACTTCGGCAACTGCCCTCGTGGTCAGATCGCGCCATGCACGCCGATCAACCGCCTTCGATTCCCATAACTTTGATCATATATATATATATATATATATATATATATATATATATATATATATATATATATATATATATATATATATATATATATATATAATTACATGTGCCCCATGCTGAGGCTGATGTTGCATTCTTGATGCTTCTTCACCTCAGTTGGGCTAAACCAACTTACACTTAAACGAGGTCTTTTTAAGCTGGATAAATTCCATTCCGCTTTATTTGGTTTGTTCTGCCTCCCTGAATAATGTTCTATTAACTGGCCACGTTGCTTACACTAGTTGCGCTTATCTTCGGTAATTTTGTTGCGTTTGTAGCATTTTAAGTAACTTGTGGACATTTCTTACTTATCACGGATTTGTTGCTAACCAAATTACTTCATATGGTAATTTAGCGAAGAGTTATGCCACCGTATCTGTATGCATTATTGGATTTATTTTATTTCAGCTTGTCGTTTAAATTGAATGGCTGTTGTTTGATATCCCTGGTATGGTTGCGCTTGATGTGTATGTTGACAAGGTGCCTACCTGTCTATTGCCCACTACATCGTTCATACTGGCTCCAGGAGACAGTTGGTCGTTGCTGAAGGGGACGGGGTGCACGGTTCTTGTGGCCGTGCTAGGCTCAAAGAGCGGTTCCATGCACTCAGTGTGGAGCGGACTACGATCCAACCACCGCCTTGTGTGCGCTTGATTCCCAAATACAGCGTGCTTGTGTTTGCCTGTGAAGGAGTGTGGGCTGGCTCCGTTGATGAAACGTGGTTCCCATCCGCATGCCTCCCGGTCTTATTCCTTCGGGTTTACACTGGATATGGGGTATGTGGTTGGAGCTGTGCGTGGTGCAGCGCAAGCCATTCATGGTCCCTCTGTAGGCGCAGGAGTCCTGTGGCTTGCCACAGTGACAGGCAAATCCGAAACCGGATGCCGCCAACCATATATAATTACATGGGAGTAGTAGGGGAAGTTGAATGGTATAGGAAGAAATTCATCACATCTAAACTCAGACATCCATCACACTCCCGAAAAATCAATTTACGGCCGTTTCATCCGGACTTGTGTGTTCACTAACGGCTGGTACAGACATTAAAATTGTCGGCCCACCCGAACTGCGACATGCGGATCACGAAATTGTGTGTACGCCGCACTTTTGACCTAACGGATAGTGAATATGCTTGATCAGTGATTGTAAAGCGAATGTATCTTACCAACCCTTACGTTGTGTCAAACTGTTTTTCCACCCATAATTGTACACGCCTGCAGAGGGATTATTGGAAACATGTTTGCTTGCATTGGTTTTCGGCAATCGTGAACAGTGCCAATCCCATCTGGCGTCTATGGGTATAGAACCCGTAACACAACTGTTGCCAGTCTGTGGTTGCGAGTATTAAGCTACGGGGGACGACAACTGCCATCTTGACTAAGTTACTGGGTATAAACCAAGCACCTTCCACGATCCACTAACTTGGCGGCTTATGTTTGGTCAGTTCGTCGTTTGGTGAGGGGGCTACCCTATCCACTGCATGGCAGTAACTTGCAACCCAGGCGAGTATCACTTCCTGTCGCAAAGGTATCCGACAAGTCACCCTAAACCCTGACGCGACCTATCGTGTTCGAGTATAGGACACGCAAAATGTTCACACATTTCATGGGAACGCCTTTCCGCACAAGTATATCAAGCAGAATCGTTCGATCGACTGAATCAAACGCACTCTTGAAGTCCAGGAACACAGCTATTGCCGGCACCTGCTGCATAGTGAATGTGTAGTTTACACAGCACCACTAGGACGGAAATTTGCCTGCTCTTCCCTTATCCGGGATTCCCGTTCCACAGTGAATCGACGAATGAGAATTGTAGCGTTAGGCTAATACCCCTGTGGTTAGCACAGTCGGTGCGACTACCCTACTTTTATATTTCGACTATAGTTGATTCGCCCTAGTTAACTGGAATGGTCTCTCCCAGACATGTTCAAACAGGGTGGTCAGTGCTTTTTTCTGAGGACCTCACCACCATCCTTAAATAGTGTAGGTGGGAGAGAATCCCGGCCGTCTTCACAAAAATGATGGAGGGCATTGATCGTATTTTGGACCTCAGCCTCTGTTGGAGCCTCTAAACTAACCGTCCACAACTCATCCTGCATCATTTGAGTAGGAAGAGGTCCGAAAGCAGATGGTCAACTGAACTGATCTTGAAAGCGTTCCACCCAGCGATCCATACGGCGTTCCTTTTTGTGTATGATGGCACCCGCACTGTCTCTACTTGTTTCACTGAACCCTGTCTTTTTAGACCAGTAGTGCGGAGCATATAGAAGAGGCTGCGATAATTGCCTACTGCTTCCGCTTCCTCCATTTCTTGAACCCGACTAGTCCACCAGGCTTCCTTGTCAGCACGCAGACTCTGCTTTAATTCACGCCTAATAGTCAATACGATTCTACTGTGCTTAGCGTCAGTCGGGAGTTTTCTGGATTCCAACAGGTCCACCGACTTTTCGCATATCCAGTGACTAGTGCGGTGACGATTGCTAGTGCCCCAAACAGATGCTGTCGCGTTGTGCATGGCTTTTGGGATCCTTTAGTCGGCCGGTGGTTGAGTGGTTGGCACGTTTGCTTTCCAACCATAAGGTCACCGGTTCGAATCCGCGTAGGGGTGGGCGTCCTCGCGGTATACTCAGCCCGCGCGCGGCTGGTGGTGGTCGCGCGGCAGCGAAGCGCCGTTACGGCGTATAAGCTGACACATTATTTTTATTTATTATTATTAATTTGGGATCCTTTATCACTCAAGTCTAATGTCATTAAAACGAGAGAACGAAAGTTTGTTACGCACGTTATCCTGGTAGATCAAGGGTCGGGCTAATTTCTCAGTTGTTAATCTGGGGAGACGCTTGGTGCACATCCCGGTAAAGTACGTGGAAAAACGACAGCGTACCAACGCATGATCAGAGTCAACGCAGGTATTCCATAACGAGCGACAATGCAGAATGGAACCACGTCACCTGTACTTATG